ATATTGTTTTTTTTTTTTGGGTCAGAAAAAAATATGTTGGTTCCATTAGAATAAATCTTGGTAAGAATTTCCCCAGACAATCATTACAGAATTCCATTTTTTGTTTTCGATACAGAATTTGAGTGTTCACAGGCTAGTAGCCCTAAGTCAACTATGTCCATTTTATAACCGAAGTCTAAGAAGATTAGTTCTCATTCTCCAATATAGAGCTCGCTTCTGTGACTCTATTTTTTCCAAAGGGCATCGGAGATGGCTGGTGGATCTTTTGCTCCGGCCGGCGTGGCTAAGGAGAGAGCAGGGCAGTATCAAGGGACAGTCACCTGTTATGTCATCGTCGCCTGCGTTGTTGCAGCCGTAGGTGGCTCACTGTTTGGTTATGACATTGGAATATCAGGTTCTCTCTTCACCCGCCTACAGAATAGAAATATAAATTTTCCAACTTTTTCTTTTCTTTGCTTTTGTTTTGTTCTGATTGTGGTGAAAAGACAGAATCAATCGATTATCACAAGAATATACTAAATGTCTGGTTAGCGAAACTAGGGCATAAACACGCATCTTATGCAGATTGTTCCTAGCATAACCTGCATACCTTTGTCTGATACTTTTTTCCTAGTCAAATCTGCAATCTTGTGTCACGGTCAGAATAGGATTGGGGGATAGGCATGAAATACTCCATTCTATGAAGTTGAACATGGCGAGATATTCACGCATGTCTACCTACCTATGATTTGGATGACTCAGAGATGTGTGGAACGACTTGGCCGAACTCGGCCGAATTGAACTGTGGGGTGTGTGTGTGTGTGTGTGTGTGTGAGAGAGAGAGAGAGTTGTAAATTCCAATCATGAATCAGAAAAGTACTCATTTCCAACAAGAAGATTAATGAAACTGCTCGGAAACTAACTTCAGCAATTATTACTGACAGGAGGGGTGACATCAATGGATGGATTTCTTGAAAAATTCTTCCCCACAGTTTACAGAAACAAAAATCGTGCGCATGAAAACAACTACTGCAAATACAACAACCAAGGCCTAGCAGCATTTACATCTTCTCTCTATTTAGCTGGTTTGGTTTCATCTATTGTGGCATCTCCCATTACACGGAAATATGGGCGTCGGGCGAGTATAATATGTGGCGGGCTTAGCTTCATTGTGGGAGCAACTTTAGATTCTTCTGCAGTAAATCTGACGATGCTTATATTGGGTCGAATCATGCTTGGCTTTGGCATCGGATTTGGAAATCAAGTAAGCATTTATTTCACTAGAAACTGTCACTGCTANCTTGGCTTTGGCATCGGATTTGGAAATCAAGTAAGCATTTATTTCACTAGAAACTGTCACTGCTAAGTTTTTTTTGTACAAACAATAGGGTGTTAATAGGGCAGAAATCTTCGAGGTTTTGGTATGTTCAGGCTTGGCTCAAGTTGATTGTCACGTGATCAAGCTTGGAGTATTGTTTAAGATTGGCTCAAAGTTTAAATTATATGCTCAGGTTTGGCATGATTCTCATACACTCAGTTCAAATTCAAACAAAAGCTCAAGTGGATTAAAAAAACACTGTTATTTTGCATCACAAAACATGTATGCAGTTCAAACAAGGAGCAAAGCAGAAACTGATTTGCTTTTGTTCATAAATTCAATTATTCATCACCTGTTTATGGCCTAAAATTTCTATAATTTATCTATTACAATTCACCTGTTTTCTTTCTCTCGCTGGTGTTTGAAGGCAGTTCCACTATATTTGTCAGAGATGGCACCAACCCATCTTCGAGGAGGACTGAACATGATGTTTCAATTAGCAACAACACTCGGAATCTTCACGGCAAACATGATTAATTATGGAACGCAGAAGCTCGAACCATGGGGATGGAGGCTCTCCCTAGGCCTGGCTGCAGCGCCCGCATTCTTAATGGCAGTCGGGGGACTACTACTTCCAGAAACACCTAACAGCTTAATTGAACGTGGATCAAAAGAGAAAGGAAGAAAAATTCTGGAGAAAATCAGGGGGACTGAGAACGTGCACGCAGAGTTACAAGACATAGTTGATGCAAGTGAGCTTGCCAACTCGATTCAGCATCCGTTTAGAAACATCCTTGAAAGGCATAATAGGCCACAATTGGTCATGGCAATCTTCATGCCAACATTTCAGATTCTCACAGGCATAAACTCAATTCTGTTCTATGCCCCTGTCTTGTTTTCAACTATGGGATTTGGGAGAAATGCTTCTCTCTACTCTTCAGCATTGACTGGAGCAGTTCTGGCTTCATCAACTGTAGTGTCTATTGCTACCGTTGATAGATGGGGACGAAGAGCTTTATTAATTGGTGGAGGAATACAAATGATTATATGTCAGGTAAGATAAACAAAAACCTCCACAGTAACTGTTTCCAAAATATTGCATCACATTTACAATCTAAAACAAATTTGGCTGCAACTCAAAAAAAATATCAACAATGTTATGTATCATATCAAGAAACCAGGAAATACTTATTTGACACTGCATTTAGTTCTGTCAAGAAAATTGAATCCCAGAAACAACTTAGAAACCTTCTGCTTACACTGCCATATGCCCCATTCTTCTCACTCCATGCAACTTCACCACAGTGAGTAGCACACTTTTTTCAAAGACTAAGAACCGTCCCAACAACATGCCCTTTGGACTCGTGGGAACTGGGAAGCAGCATTTATATTGAAGTTATCTATATCACAAGAAAAAATTGGCAATTTTCTTGTACTTCTAAAGCGTGTCCATAACAGTTTTCAAGAAGGATTTACCTGTCACCTTAATACCTGAAAGATTGACATTTCACTTGTGGAACAGGTCATAGTTGCAATTATTTTGGGGGTCAAATTTAGCGGTGACAAGGAGCTCTCAAAAGGCTTCTCAGTATTGGTGGTGGTTGTGATCTGCCTCTTTGTTGCAGCGTTCGGATGGTCATGGGGGCCACTTGGCTGGACAGTTCCCAGTGAGATATTCCCATTAGAAACCCGATCAGCAGGACAAAGCATTACAGTTGCTGTAAACCTTTTCTTCACCTTCCTAATTGGCCAATTGTTCCTCTCCCTCCTTTGTGCTTTCAAGTTTGGGATTTTCCTCTTCTTTGCAGGCTGGATAACCATCATGACAATCTTTGTTTACCTTTTCCTACCTGAAACCAAGGGTGTCCCCATTGAAGAGATGGTGTTCCTGTGGAGGAAGCACTGGTTCTGGAAGAAGATTGTGCCTAGTTATCCAGAAGATAATGAGAGTAATACTAACAACAACTCAGCTTCTGTTGCAATCACCGAGCACATTCACTAAAAAAGAGGGTCTAGTGCATGAGACTTCTGTATCAACTGATATGGAGGGCTGTAGTGATGGAAGACCACTCCTATAAAATTTCAAGTAGTAGACTTCACCTATAGGCCTCATATCAATGTTATTTATGGGATATGGGAATATTTTTCAGGTCAATGGCCAAACGATGTCTACCACTGAAGTAGCAAACTCCAGAAGAAAGATAGGTACTTCATCACCAAAAACTATTGACAGTTCATCAGAAAGTAGCACTAGCTGTTGAATGGGGCATAATGTAATTGATGTTATTACTGTTGTTCTTCTTGTGTGTTTTTTTTCTTCTTCTTCTTCTTCTTCTTGTTGTTTTAACTTTATAATATTTTCACAATTTGTATTTTTATATGTCCCCGTTGCTTTCAGGCAAATGCAAGTTATCAATTATACTTTCATTTTAAGAACATTCAACTTCATAAAACTAGACCGTATTGCTACAAGTCAAACATTGAGTTAAATTTACTGTAAGGGTAATAATTTATGAGACGATCCTTTAATATGAGGCAAATATAATAAGTTTGTGTTAGAGATTAAATGATTTGTTAATCGTGTCGTGCTAATGTGACATATTTAATAAGTCTGCTGTGGATTTTGGAATTCAACCTACTTGATGCAAACATAAATATGAGTAATATAACTCTTAACATGAATTCATCGAACCCATGTTTTTTAATTATATGTAAATTATTTTGTGTGACTGATGCAATCCAGTTGATATGTGGAACTAGGGCCAATTTAATAAATGGATAACATGATAACTTATATCACCTATGTAATAAATGGCCTGTGTTAAAAATAATTTTTTTTTGATATAGCCTGTTAATCAAGGACAAGAATACAACACTGACTTCGGCCAAGATAAAAAAACCTGGCCTTTGTTTTACTCCTTGTTCCATAAATTGGTCGCTAATTGATCTAATTGGATCTCAGCCACGCGAGAGCCCAATCGGAGAAGAATGCAAGGTTCCTGTCAGTTAGTGGGACGAATGTTCACAAAAGGGGTCGCAAGTCTAAGCCACCTAATTTCTAAGAACCAGTGTTATCAGAATTAGCCCAGGTCGGTTGGTCGGACCGGTGAATCAGGACCTTTAACGGTCCGGTTTACTAAAAAGACCGTTTGGGTAATTGGACCATTGGAAAACAAGAAAACCGGCCGATTTAGACCAAAAACCGGTGAATCGAAGATTAAAAAATTGGCGGTTCAAAACCAACCTCCGTCTTCTCCAAATCAAGCACTCGAACAGCCTTCATTTTCCCCAAATCAAGCACTCGACCAGCGGCACACAACTCCACACCACATATCTAAATCTCGAACACCAAACTTCCTCCACTCTGTCTTCTTTGTCTTTTCCAGATCGAGCTCTCGAACAACGGCACAGACACCACAAATCTAGATCATCTCAAAGTCTCGAACGTAAGACATTTTCTTCTCATCTCTATCTCTCTCTCCACGCAGACACACACTCACAATTGATAATAGAGTAAGAGCATCTCCAACCATACTCAGCAAAATAGCTACTCAAAATATATTTAAATATTAAATTTTCTATTTTAACTAGCTACTTTTTTAAATTCATTTCAATCACGCTCTCTATTTTAGTTAACTATTTCAACTAACTTTAATTAACTTTCAATAATATAATTCAAAAATGTCACGTGGCATAACACGTAAGTGCCATAATGATGACGGTGCATGATGATGTGTCGTGCCATGTCTTCAAATTTTTAAATTTCAACGGTCATATTTTCAACAGCCATATTTACAATTATCATATTTTCAACAGTCATATTTACAACAGTAATATTTTTGAAAATGTATAAATAGTACCTCTCTCTTCTCATTGTCATATATTTCAAATTTATTTTACTGANAATTTTTAAATTTTCAACAGTCATATTTACAATTGTCATATTTTCAACAGTCATATTTACAACAGTAATATTTTTGAAAATGTATAAATAGTACCTCTCCCTTCTCATTGTCATATATCTCAAATTTATTTTACTGGTATTGCACTCATATTTCTTTGCTATGGCTCATGATGGTAAATTGAAGATGATTCTGACTTCGATGATGGGTTAGAGATGTTGCTAGTTGCTACTATGACAATGGAAAAACTCAATACTGAGAACAGCTGTGTAATACGTCGTGGTTCTATTTAAGGTCATTTTCTTATTTTTCACAATCGAGTTGAAGGGTATGAGAGATTTTATCGCGATTATTTTGTTGAATCGCCTACCTATCCCCCAAATTTATTTTGAAAGGGGTTTCGAATGAATCAATCTCTTTTCGTTCGTATTCTATCCAAAAAAAGGAATGCTATTGGGAATATTGGCTTGTCTCCCCTTCAAAAAATGGCTGTCATTATAAGAATGTTTGCCTATGGAGTTGTAGCAGATGTTGTTGATGATTATATGAGGATCAACAAAAGCACCAAATAAAAAGTCTGCAAAGATTTGTATCGACCATAGTAACAATTTATTTTGATCAGTATCTTAGGTCACCAAACAACGCAGACATTGCTAGATTATTAGCAATCGGTGAGAAACGTAGATTTTCTGGGATGCTAGGTAGCAATGACTGCATGCATTAGAGATGAAAAAATTGTCTAACAACATGAAAAGATGTGTACTCTGGTCACGTTCATAAACTAACAATTATTTTAGATGTGGTGGCTTCATATGATCTATGGATTTGACATGCCTTTTTTGCGTTACCTGGATCCCACAATGATATAAATGTGCTAGAACACTCTTCTGTTTTTACTCTTCTTTCGGAAGATAGGGCTCCTCCAATCAATTACTCTATCCATAAAAACGATTATACTATGTAATATTATCTTGCTGATGGTATATATCCAAAGTAGGCCACGTTTGTCAAAATAATTCCATCTCCAAGAGACAATAAGCAAATACATTTTGCACAAACTCAAAAGTCAGCTAGAAAGGATGTTGAGAGAGCTTTTGGAGTGCTCAAAGCATGATTTGCTATAGTTTGTGGACTAGCACGTTTTTGAAAATTTGAAGTGCTTAAGGATATTATGAAGACGTGCATAATATTGTATAACATGATTGTCGAGAATGAGAGGGACGGTAATAAAATGGACTTTAGTTATGATGCATCAAATGAAATTTCTACTCCTACATTGATATCCGAACAGAGTTCAGAACTGCTTCAATTTATTCATCCTCAACATCGCATTCGAGACAGAGACACTCATTCGAGACTCCAAATTGCTTCAGTTTTAGGCGGTAATATGCTACGAATTTTACAAATATTTAAACATGCATAATATTATAGTACTTGTTTGTTGTACTACTACTCAAAAATTGTTAGTCTATAAATAAGAAAGAACAACATTTTCTTTCCCATGATTTCCATCCAGCGACACTTAAAATATTCAGTTTGAATTGGAGGCATGACACTCATGTTCATCAACATTATTCTCTGTTCCTCATTCATTCGCTTGAGTTGTATCTTCTCTTTATCACGAACCAGTCTCTCCTGTTCTTAAAGAAATGATTTTTCCATGAATTTGACTTTCGTATCCGTCAAACATCTTTTTCTCCTCTTTTATTTCTTGAAACATTTTCACGAAAGAGGTTGAACTTGAATTATTACATTTAGAGAATTTGCACTTTGACTTTTTTGTTCATTCTTTTGCAGTCCTCCTTCCAATTGGCCACTCCAAACCCCCACTATCATCTCCTATGTTTACCGATTCTGGTATTGAAGGATTAGAGTTGCTAGGAGTTGCACCACATTTTGTTTTTTGCTTCGTAGACTGAGAATCCTCCATCTATTTTGATTGATATCGTAACTAATTCCATCAATGTTCAAATGAAAAATAGCATTTATGCAGTTCCTTGTACACCTTCTATGCATCACAGGCCTAAAAATTGTACAATAATACTATGTATCATAAAAGAAAAATACTCTATTTTCACACTTGTAATTAAAATGCACTCATACCTTGTCTTTCTCAGTTATACCACTTTGATTCAACCTTTCAATTTAGTTAAAGCAGACACAAAATTTATTGGTGGCTAGTTGAATTGTCGACCAACGATTCATGAAAGAAATTTGATTGCAATTACAATCTGACTGAGGTTTGTATTCGTTGAAATACTCTCAAACCCTTCGCCAATATATTTTAGATTTTTGCTCATTTCCATGCATGACATCCACGCTAATATTAAGTCGACCCGAGATTAAAACTAAGCCCTCCTCAATTGTAAAGTTGCCGCCTCGAACCTTTTTTGTGGTGGATTCTATTTGAGGTGATATTGGTGAAGAATGACTTACTTGGTCTACTGATTGACTATTAAACTCATCTAGATTTGTTCCGTCGTTCAAGAGATTGGTGAAGTAATATTCATGTTCAATGGTTCCATACGTAATGCCTAAAATTCAACCCAAAACATATATTATTCATGTCAAGTTTCTGGCAACAAAACAGGGAGCAAAACAGCACCGCAGTTCAAGAAACAAAACAACAGGGAGGGGTAGCAAAACAACATTGCAGTTAAAGATAGAGCACTGCAGTTCACAATCACTCCTATACATGCATCAATCATTATGCAATTTGAAGATGGAGCATTGCAATTTCCCATGTAATTGAACTAACCTATAAGGTGACTTTGGATTGGTTAAATTCAGCTTGTTCAAGTAGGCAAAAGGAAGTATGCAATAGGATTCTAATTTCTATGATCTATGTAAATTTAAGAACAACAAAATAAACAAATTCCAAAAGCATGTTGTACTCACAACACCACAAATTAAACCCAAAAGACAATAACACCTCCAGCTCCTCTAAACTGCCTCAAAACCCCCCATTCAATCAACCACAACAAATCCTATCAAGGGTTTTCTCAATCAATATTCATAACAATCCAAAACCCTCAAAGTAGTAGTAACCCCTAAACCCAAAAAACGTAAATACTCATCAGTGAGATAGAATACAAAAATTTCTCTAACACATTTTCACAAAAAAGAATCAAAAATAAAATAGCACCAAATAAAAACCAATTAATCAACACAAAGGAGACTCAAAATCCATATTCAAGACACAAAAGAAAACAGAGCAAAAATCTATTTTTTCACTTTTAGGTAGTGCCAAAGAAACACTCTATTGCTCAAAGTAATTAAAACACATAACCCAAATTCAAGAAACAAACAACAAAAAAACAGGAAAGTGCTAAATTTCTTCGCAAGGATCAGCAGGAAGGATCAAGGCAGCAGCAGAGGAGCAAGAGAAGGGGAAGATGAATACCTGGTTCACAGCAACAACAAGGATCAGC